AACTTATGAAATATAAATAGTGTAAAAAAACTAAAACTCTTACAAATTTCACCAAACATTCCCTTAATCTTAGCTCGGGTTCTGCTCATTTGCTAAACAAATCCAGCTTGAACTCAATTTTGAGTTTGTACTTGGTATGTTTGGGTCATGAGATCCCGACAAGTAGCTTGTTTAATTTAAAAGATAACAATAAATTATATTATTTGATTTAATTTAATTATTTTAAATTATAAATAAATTGTAGTTTGCAAGCTACTCAATCCAAGCTTGGATTGTTTGGTAAAGGAGCTAAGCTTGAGCTCCACTTTTCTCTAAACTAGCTGACCCCAAGCACTACCATTTGAATTCGACAAAAAGCAAATAATTAACGAGCTCGAGTTATTGTACAATTGAATTTGAGCTCAAACATTCAAATACTAGACTTAGTTTGGCTCATTTGCCCTTTTATTTATTTATTTTTTATTTTTTATTTATCTACAATTAGGTCATTTCACTTAGTTATCTTAAAACTAATCCCTTCCCAAACAATGTTAAGGGTGCACTCAACATCAAGTTGACACATTTAAATAAATTAAATTTCTTAACTACAGATTTCAAAACTTAAATTCTAAACCTAAATTACTAAATGACACTTATATACCATAGATTAATGTAACCCTTAGAGTTCATTTACAGCCTATTAGGAAGACAACAATTACTGTAAATAGAAGTTGACAACATAAGTAAAATTTAGAAAGGCAGATGAATAATAGACCAGAAAGTCGATTTCCATCCTCTTCGTTGGTGGTGTGTTCATGTAACAATGTTTGGCATCACGTTATTGGTCATTAATGTAGCTTTTGTAGTTCCAAATGGAGAAGGGACTTCGACAGGGGATCCTTTTGCTCCATTCTTATTCTTCATGATAGCTGAAGCTTTAAATGGACTTATGAAGAAGGTAGTGAATGATAATATGTTTAAGGGAATCGAAATTGAGAAGAGCGGCCTTAAACTCTCACACGTCCAATTTGCTAATGATTCCATCTTCTTTTGTGAAGCAACAGAATACAATGTGATGATTCTAAAAAGTGTCTTAAGATACTTTGAGATGGTATATGGCTTGATAGATAATTTTTTCAAGAGCTTCCTAATAGGATTGAATGTGGAGAAGAATGACATGGAAATATTTGTAGACAAGCTGAATTGTGCTATCGATCAGACTCCCTTCAAATATCTGGGGGTGTTGGTTGGCTCAAATCCGAAAAGACTATCCACATGGACCCTAGTGATTCATACTATGAGAAGGAGGCTGTCTAATTGGAAGAGGGATACGCTGTCTTTTGGTGGACGCATTATTCTTCTAAATTACGTCCTCTCAAGCATCGCAGTGTATTACTTCTCAACCCTTAAAGCACCAAAATAGGTAATTCTTTTACCCACTAAAATTCAAAGAAATTTCTTGTGGGGGAAGGGGGGGAGTGGGGTAGTAAGAAGATGGCTTGGGTTAAATGGGAAAACATTTGCAAAAGGAAGATAGAAAGGGGTTTATGAGTCAAAGAACTACAAAAGTTCAATATAGCACTATTAGGGAAATGGAGATGGAGAT